ATAGTTATCTGCATTTCAAATAGCCATCACTCATTGCTTGATAACTATATTACCTTACTAGTTCTGACATACACCAGTCCATGAAAAAGTTTGCAAGAGTGATATCTGTTTTTATCTGGCTACTCCATTTTTTCTGCATTAGGAATAATAGAACTGGGTTACTTGGTAGGGAAATGAAATATCAGAAGCACTTACTTGATCTAAATCTACATAAGAAAAAAATAAACTTTAAATTCAGAGCATTTGGGTGGCTGTAGACTCCCCACGCCTTTTTTTTTTTTTTTAGCTTGACCTGATCACACCATTTTTAGTCATAACCTCCATGGTTGTCCTTGGTTGGTTTTCCCTGCATGGTTTCCCTTATACTATGAATAGTCAAAATAAGAGTGGTATGTGGAACTTTATGGCTGGACCTTGGTACCAGGAATGTGCCTGACTCTGATACTGGCTTGAGATAAACCAGGTACATTTTGGCTTGGGTGAAGTCACTTTTGTCCCGACCATTATTATAAACCCCCATTATTCTGACCCATATTGTAGAGGTCCACCTGAATCTTGCTACCACCCAGAACCATGCTGATGTCACTGAGACCTCAGTAAATCGCACTCTGCAATCCTGGATCTCCATTCCTCTTCAGTCACATGAACTAGCTTTGGGAGCTAGTTCTCAAACACTGAGAATGGGTTATTTCGAAACAATTATCCAGCCAAGAAGACTAAGGAAATGTTCAAGGAGAAGGAGCATCCTCAGGAAAAGTCCTGGGCTGGCCATCTAACTTCATGTGGGGAGGCTTGGCCCATGCATTAGAGGTGTATAGCCCACCAAGTGAGTATGGGTACGCTATGAAATCACTGCTGGATTTGGAGCAGCTATTTGCTGAATGCTTCTTATCTCATTGCTGTTAGGAAGAGTGGTGTCTCACTGTTAGTGGAATGGCTGTTGCTGTGGGCAGTTCACTTTGGTTACCAATGTCCATCTGGCTGGAGGCAAGAGAATAAAGACTTCAGGAAAAGTGATACAAGTTGAAAGAGATATACGTCTGTTATGGTTTATATAAGTGGTGTGGCCCCAAAACTCATGTGGATTAATCCACTGATATGGATTAACTGGGTGGTAACCATAGGCCAGTAAGGTGTGACTGGAGGAAGTAAGTCACTGGGGCTTAGTCTTTTAAGGGTTTATATTTTGTACCTGGTGAGTACAACTTGCTTTCTGCATTCTGGGTGCTATGTCCTGAACTGCTGCCCTTCCACCATGATGTTCTGCCTCACTTTGTGCCCAGAGTAATGGGGTTGGCCAACGTTCACAGAACTTCTGAAACTGTGAGCCAAAATAAACTTTTCTTCCTCTACCTTGTTGTCATTTCTTTTGTCACAGCAATGAAAAAGTTGACTAGAACATCATCTCTCTCTTTTACCATAGACTGTAGCCTGGCTGAGAAAGTTGAAGATCAGGACTCTAAGCTAGATATCCTAATTTGCTGTTTTGTGACACTGAGGGAAAAGTGGTGGAAGAGAAAACAAGTATGGACTGTCATCTGAAGATCAGAATGCAATGCAAAGAACTAGAATCCCTGGGAGAGAGGATTGAAGAAGAACCTGAGATTGAAATGATAGAGAACAGGGACCACCACCACTAATCCCACCTCCACATCCTCCCAACCCCTTACCCCCATAAATCAGACTCACTTTTCTGTTTGAATGTCAATGTAAAGGCACAGAATACTCAGATGGGGGACCTTCTGATTTAAGAAACCGTGACTGTTCAGGAGTGTACTGTTGCAAAACTGCTAAATATTACAAAAACTTTTTAAACAACTCCCCTGGGAAAGCCTAACTGCCTGGATGGTGAGACTGGGACATGGGAGGGGATGACATTTCACTGGTAAGAAATGAAATAAAACATAATTTTATCACTCATCCAGGCTTTAGGTAGCACCTACATAATGTCTGTTGTTCCAAGGAAATCATTCCCTTATAGATTGGATCATCTGAGGCATAAGAGATATGGCCACATAAGGGACTGTACCAGTCAGCATAGGTACCCCCATGGAAAAGCATTGAGGAAGCCCAGGGTATTCTGTGGGAATTGAGCATGTGACAAGCCATTTATGCCCAGGTGTTTCAAGGAGCTGAAAAGCAGTTTCTAAATATGGAATGAAAACAAAATGTTCCAACAGTACATTTCTTTTCTTTTACTCCTCAGTTTGATTTTTTTGACAGAATTTTTAATAATGTGGACAAGGTTGTGTTCAGCCTTGGAGAGACAAGATGGTCAGAATAAGACATGCCTTGTCACAAAGCCTGACAACTAAGAGAAATGGGAGAGAAAAGAAATGGTGGGGGGTGGTTAAGGTAATAAGAAAGCAGATGTGGTATTTATTACTTGCTTTGGCAACCCCAGGGAACCTAATGTAATCTTGATAGCCTTATGGAAGGAGCTTAAGCCTGGACATTTCCAACCTTTTCCTTCTGTTCCCTCTAGGGGAAGGTGAAGAATTTTCAAATTACGGTATCGACAGATGCATAGAATGGTTTCCCTACATTCTCTTTGAGTAAGAGAGAGAGAGTTGGCAACCAGATGCCTCATCTGGAATTATCTTCTGTTCTCTAAGAACCAGGGGAAGTCCTTTGCTCCAGTAAATACGGTTGTTGAATGTATACTGATCTATTGCAACTCAGAATGTTCTCCGGGGCTGGGCAGTGCTTGAGGAATATGAGGATAAGACCATCAGAGAGAGATTGTTACATTTAAGAATTAAAAGAAAACCCCCAGCTCCATATTTGGTACTAACCCACCAGTTCCTAAAAACATTCTAGGGATGGATATTCTATTAGGAAGGACACTACAGACCTCTGTGGGCATAATTTCAACCCCAAATTCAGGTAGTGTCATGGTTTGGATATGACATGTCTCCCAAAGACTGGAGTGTTGAAGTTTTGGTTCCCCAATGCAGCAACGTTGAGAGGAGTAGCTTTTGGGAAGTGTTCTGATCTCATTAGTACATTAATGTATAGATGGCTTAATGAATTGCTGTAGGGTAGTGGAAACCAGAAAGTGGGACTCGGTTGATGGAAATAGAGCACTGAGGTCATATCCTCGAAGGTATTTTTTTTTCATAAATTTTTATATATGAAATTCTTTAGTAGTACAGTGGTAGAATGCTTGCCTGGCATGTGCAGGGCCCTGGGTTCGATCCTCAACACCACATAATGCTAAATAAAGGTATTGTGTCCATCTACAACTAAAAAATTTAAAAAAAATTTCTTGAGCAGTATACAACTGGGAAGCTCTGTGTAGTTAGCAAGGAACAAAAATAAGATGCCAAGTATCTTGGGGCTTTTCCATAAAATTGTTAAGATATAAATCTGACAGTGACAGCATTTTAATCCTTAAAACAGTAATACTCTAGGCCTGGCACTAAACTATAAGGCCACAATGAGATGTAGAATTTGATTTTTTAAGAATATAGTGAATGACAGGTAGGAAGGACATGAGGTGATCTGTACAAGTGCTTATTATAAACCTAAACATTTTCATATAGGCAAAATATTGACGCCATAACCAAACAACTGGTCCAGTTTCAAGATTGCTAGATTTTGTAGATGAGAGGATAAGAGGTGACCTTTCGGTCCCAGCTTTCCCTATTCTTAACTTTTTATTGTTCAAGTTCTACTGAAGCTTGTGGTATGACTAGCTGTCCTCAGGTAAATGCTATTGCATAGAGGACTGCAGGGCTCTTAATATTATAAACTGTAGAAGGACCTTGACATTAAAGATCTAGGTTAAGCTCTAAGATGAATCCTATGAGAAAACTGGGCTGTACAGGGACTTACATAGAAACCATTCCAAAGAATGTGTGAGCTTTAAGATAATAATGTCTTTCATAGCACATAAAGAACACCACAGATGCTTCATAGATTATGAACAAAAGTTAACTGAGAAAGATCTTCTGACTAAAATGGGAAAGACAGTATAAAAATATTTACAAAATTTCAGAAAACGAGTTCAGAATAAAGGGATATTTGTTGGACACTGTCACAAGCGGGCAAAATTGCGACATATGCAGTCGAGGGGAGAAATAAAGAATGTGCACACACTTCTGCCCCTTTCGAAGTTTTATTCGCTCAAATTGCTCAATACAATTTCACTCTGTAGGTTCTTAGTCAAGAAAACAATTCTTAATGCTAGGCAATATAATAGACAGAATCAACTCACAGCAAACAATTCTAGATTAACTAATTCACAACAAACAGTTCTGGATTGATTCTAAACATTGCAAACACACTTAATCGTGACAGGAAATGACAGACATTCCCTCTGCGTGCTAAGTTCAAGTGTCAGATCAAAAGTCTTAAGCCTTAAGGTTTTAGTCCAGCAGATGCACACTCACTCAGACCGCAGTGATCAGGTCCAAAACCAAGGCAGGCTTTTCCTGGCTTGGAGTGGATGACCAGTTGAGGAGAGGGTCATATGGAGAAGTTGCAGCTCTCACCAAGGTCCAGATGAAGGGGTAGAGTTTGAGAGCTGTAAGGATCATGCAGAAGGTTAGGAAAATGATGACAAATGATGGGATGTCAGTCCAGGTTCGCATCAGGCTCTCCAGCTTGAGATCATCCTTGTTTCAGCTGGCTGAATCCCTGTTTCTTAGCTCTATTATTTATACTAAATTTGGGGGCTTTTGACCCCCCCTTTTCAATCCTTATCAGCGACTACTGGATTTCTCCATGACATCATTTACCCTGGGATCAGAAACATCTGGGCTGGTGGTCTCCACCCTGATCTTCTTGCCTTTCCCTTCTTATCAGGCAAGGCCAGCCTGCCAGGGGCTTTACTCTGTTTATCAGGGTGAGGGAAAGTAACTTGTCTGAGGCCATACGGGAGGGATCTGTGGGTGTGCCTGGTGAGACTGCAGGTTTCAAAACTGGTGTTTTTAAAATGGAGTTGCTTAGGCTCAGGCCTAAGGTCATCCTCACAGACATTAACAAATTATTCATCTTTAACCATAACAAAGCCCCTTTGAGCTTCCAAAAACCTTTGCTTTCTTTTCCTTTTGTTCTTGCTCCTGTTTCTTCCCTTGCTCCTCCCTTGCTCTTTCCTGGTCTGGAGATAAGGTTGTTTATAGATTTTCTTGTAGAAGGTAACTCTGTTTACATGTTCATTCAGAGAATTATTTTCTTTAGATTTCCCCCGTGGTTTCAGCTTTTCTTTGTGTGGCTATTAGGTGAGCGGAAGAGACAAACTTGCTTTGAGATCAAATACTGTTTTTTTATTGGAAACTGGAGTCTGCATTGCCATAGTTGTCAACTTGAATGGGGTAATAGCTGCAGCAGAATTCCCTCTGTTGGTCTTTAAGTTGGGTATCCCCAGCACAGCATGGCCTTCTGAGGTTTTCCCAGATGTGGTCACATGTGGAAACTTTTTAAGTGGAGTCTTGGTCACTGAATGTTTATGCTCATTATCTTTAGTAGCAGCTGAAAACCTGACACTCATTTTAGCTGCTGAGAGAGAAAAGTGCTTGACTGACCCCTTCAGATGAATAGTGCTCCGAATTGCAAGGCCCTGTGATTGGCCTTTAGAGCACTGCTGGCTGATGGATGTACAAGCCACAGAGAGTCTTCCTTTTGGAGGAACTGGAATTATTACCCCACCCTTATTGCCAGGCTGCTTCTTCAGTTCATTAAAGGAGTTGTGTTCTTTAAAATATTTCTTTTTTCTCTTAATATATTCATCAATGGACTCCATTTCTTTAAAACAAGCCTCAGAAGTGGGGGTGTTCTGGTGTAACCGTGGCAAGGTTCCCTGGAGGGAGTTGTAGGAGTAGTTAATGAATACTCTCTGGGCCACTGAGTTCCTGCTCTTGGATCACTTCACCTTTTGGCTTACCTTTTGGTCACTAGTCACCTAGACAAGATAAGGGGAGAAGGAGGGCAGGAGAGCAAAGGAAATCTAAAATCTATAAATGAGGCAGGACGCTCCCACTTCTTGGGACACACAGCTCCGGGGCCCCTTCTCTTCAGAGAAGTCTATCTCTGTTATCCTTTAAATAAAACTTGCTTTAGAAACCAGGGTTGTAGCTCAGTGGTAGAGCGCTTGCCTAGCATGCATGAGGCACTGGGTTTGATCCCTGGCACCACATAAAAATAAACAAATAAAATAAAGGTATTATGTCTATCTACAACTAAAAAAATATTTAAAAAACCTCTTGCTTTCTATACTTGCCTTGGCATGGGCATTTCTTGTGGGCTTAATCTTCACATCGGGGAAACAGGACTCAGACCTGATATTCATCACCAGTATCATATTTGGAGATCCTACTGAGATCATCACTGAGGTAAGCTGCTTCACATGCATCCCATATCTTTCTGAGGTGCGCCTTTCTATCTCTTTCTGGAGGACAATAATGGGCACCCCCCAGCAAACTAAATGCAGTTAGTGCAAGCTGTCATTCTCCAAGATCTGCTGAACGAATCCAAGGCCTAGGCAGTTCTCAATCACCTGTCCTTAAGTCAGGCTGGTTCCATTACGCCAATGATATGCTAACTGGTGAAGATTATACTCTTTTAGGGGACACAATGAAATGATTGTGTATTCACCACACATGGGAATGGGCTGTCGACTCCAAGAGTCAGGGTCCTAGACTAGCCATTAAGTTTCTAGGGGTGCGTTGGTTGGGAAAGACCTATTTGATTCCAGGTGTAGTGTGAGATAAAGTACTAACCTTCCCCATACAATAAAGGACATATTGGCTTTTGTGGGACTCTTAGATTATTGGTGGGTTTTTATTCCTCATTCAGCTCAATGCCTACACATACTATATCAGCTGACTAAGAGGAAAGCCACTTGGGACTGATATGTTCCCAGTAAAAAAACATTTGGAAAGCCAAAGATTTTGATCTGGTCACCGCTGTATCAGGCATGCCAATGCAGTCAGATGTCACCAGTAGAGCAGATGGCATGAGTGGCGCTCTCCAATAAGTTTTTTTTTCTTTTCTTTTAATCACATTTCTGAAAGGGAACTTAGAAATGCATTTTCTAACAGTGTACTGTGCCCTTTTACTGGTGGAGCCTAGTGACTGAGATTTTCCAAAAGTGTAAACTGGCCCACCTATAAAGAAGATGGTGGAGGGCCTATTTTATCAGCCTCAATCCACAATAATGCAAATCTCTACTCTAACTGGCATATTAACAATGTTGTTCTCTCTGATAGCTCATATACTTCCGAGCCGGAGGCAATGTTGGACCCAGTTAACCTGTGAAACTGTCTCACCACACCGCCCCAGTGCCTATGATCTCAAGTGTGAGAGGGTGGCCCCCATATCAGAAAATGTGCGGCATACAGATGAGACCAGCGGAGGGAACCCAAATGTTTGAACTGCTGCTGCAATACAACCTTCCACTGATACTGTCTGATCTGAGCCAGGAGAAAATGAAAGCAGTCAATGGGCAGAATTGTGGGTCCTATGACTGGTAGTAACTTGTGAGCCATGCTGCTGGTTGTTTGTATACACAGTTGACAATATACTGAAGCCCTATATTGTGGATGGCACGATGGCAAGTGGAACAAGGGTCTACTGGCCTTATAGAAGCCTTCCTTAGCAAGAGAGCTAATCATACTTCCACTATAACACTCTTGAAACTGAAGCGTGAGGCATGGGTACTCATTTCATGAGATATGCTGTCTAAACATGTCGGACCCAAAAGTGATGTGTCATGGCATTTTCATCTTCCATATAACTCTCAGGCAGGAGGACTGATGAAGAGAAAAGAATGGCTTGTTAAAGCAATAGATACAAATAGTAGTAGGTAAACCACCTTTGCCAGCTGGACTGAAGTTGAGTGTATTAACAAATTTAATCCACATGTCTGGCATGTGTCATATATGAGTGCCTGGGGGCTGTGGTCCCTGCCCCAAAGACCACCTACATCCAAGCTGTATATCCAGAGGCTATACTGCCAGAGTTGATATACAGATAGAGAAAACTGCTAATTTTCATGCTACAACATTAAATCCAGGGGAGGGGACAGTTCAGTGTGGGGTGCTTAAGTGGCTTGTTCCCCTGAGATGGATCAGCTGTTTCTCGCCACAGTGTGATCCCTGTTGATCCTCTTGGACTCTAAACCTAGTCATGGTTTATTTCCTGAGTGGGAAATATTTGAGGGCACTACAGTTGGCCTTTGGGTCTGGCATGCTATTTCACTATTTCAAGAATCACTCAGACTCCATGCTGTTTGCCATCATGGGTGGTTTGCTCCACTCCACCAGCATCCAGCTGCTGCTGCCAGAAATGATGCCACCAGTATTGTCTTATTGGTTGGTACACATTTATCTTTACAAGTTCCTACTAAACATTATTTTTCTGTCCATAGCTGCAGGAGTTTTATTTGTTTGTTTGTTATTTTTGCTGTTTACACTGGAATCTGTGCTATTATGAAGACAAAATGTTATGTGTACATCCCTGATGTCACACACCTCATGTCATCCATTGGAAAACCCAAATTGATGGTTTATCTGATTCTATCCCTTCTATAGGAGATATACTAAGTTGTTGATCTGGTTACTGGGCTTCTGGTGGGAAAAATTGATGTTATCGTCATTTGCATAATTGTTCTCTTTTTGGGCTTTGCCTCTTCTTATGACTTAGATATGGTGTCCCACCGAAACTCCCGTGTGAGATAATACAAAAAGGTTTGGAGGAGAAATGATTGGGTCATAGCCTTAACCTAATTGGTAAAATAATCCCTTATTGGATTAACTGAGTGGTAACTGGAGGCAGGTGGGGTGGAGCTGGTGGAAGTGATTCATTGGGGGCCTGGCTACTATGGGGTATATATTTTGCATCTGGCCAATGGACTCTCTCTCTCTCTCTCTCTCTCTCTCCTTCCTGAACAACAAGTGAGCTGCTTCCCTCTGCTGCACCCTTCTGCCATGATGTTCTACCTCACCTAGAACCCTGAGGAATGGAGCTAGCCTTCTATGGATTGAGACCTCTGAAACCCATGAGCCCTCATGTAAACTTTTCCTTCCCTACAGTTGTTCTCATCATGTCCTTTAGTCACAGCAGCTAAAAAGCTGACTAAAACACCCCTATTGTTGCTGTGGAATCTTCCTGCAGGCCAGACAAATGGCCTCACTGCATACTACTTACACAATGCTAAAACCCTTCAGAGTTTCAGGACACATCATGGAAAAGCAGGGCGTGTGAGTTTGTAAAAACCAGTTACAAGGGGTGAAATGCATGGATTCAACTTGATCTGACCACAGCCATCTTCAGTGATAACCACCATGATTGTCCAAGTAACCCTGGTTGGTTTTGTTTCCCCGCATGCTATAGATAGTCAAAACCATTAGAGTGGTATGTGGAACTTTATGATGATCAGACGCTGTCATCAGGAAGGTGTCTGACTCTGATATTAGCTTGAGATAAACCAGGTGAATTCTGGAATAGATGACATCCTGACCACTTTATAAGTCCTCATTGTTCCAACCTATTTTGCAGGGTTCCACCTGATTTTGCTGCCACTCAGGACCATGTTTATGTCACTTAATCCACAGTAAATTGCACTTGTTATAATCTTGGATTTGCCTACTTCTTTCTATTGGTCTCACACACCTTAGGGCCAATTCTCATACATGAGGACCACGTCATTCCAGAACAAATTGTGTCTTGGAAGCACACATGAAAAAAATTATAATAGAGGAAATTAATAGCACAGAATCCTGAGAAGCATTAAAGTTCTGTAAATTTTAATCTGTGGACTTTCTGAAGTATATACTGGGTAACAGCAAAATTGCTTCTTCCTTTGCTTCCTGTGAGGAGAAAGGTCACTTGAAAGTTATTCTGAAGATGAGTAATTTGGGGACAAAAATATGGCCAAAATGGGATAAACAAGCCAGTACCTGGAAGTTGACATGTAATTCCTGAGATGAAAGAAATTGAGTAAGAAAGTATATTGTAATCCAGGAAACAATGAACAGAAAAAATCTTTTGTTTGCATGAGGGAATATGACCTTTAGAAAGTTTACCTAATTTTGAGAAAGGAAAGTCACCTGCATAACAACGAACTCTGCTTATGGCTCCAAAGTAAGCAAACTAATAAAAGGATTTGGGTGTAGGGTTGATTACTGACATCCACATGCATAAATACAGGGGTCAATTATAGAAAAATGTAACAAAAATATGTCCCAGGCCTATTTTCTATTTATAGGAGGAAATATTAAGTTTAATAATACATATTTGGTCGTAAAAATTCCATTTAGAGCTAATAATATTTAAGCAATTTTGCTATTTTAGTATACTTTGTAGCATGTTGTATGGGAAATGTAGCCAATTTTTTTTCTTTAAACAACTTTCTGTTTTTCAAGTTAAGCACAATACACGTCATCTAATAATTCAATTGAACCATATAATGAAGATTACTACTTTTATTTTAGAATGGTCTCTAACTTCCTTTCATTTTTAATAATGCCTGTTATAAAATAGTATGTTTGTGTGTGGTATTTTAATTTTACTTTTTAAAAAATTAACTTGTTTTCAATAAGTGATATTATGATTTAATATATCTTTATATGGGCTGGTGAATATATAAGCAGGTGCTCCTTTTATTGCCCATATAAAAACAATAAAAATTGTCTCCTATTTATTATTTAGATTATTGTTAGTATAGGGAAACTCTGGCATAGAGTCCCAGAGTATTCAACTCTGACTTTATTTATGGGTCCTTAGGTAAATATTCATTCATTATTCAATCACTTCTATGACTGTGGATACCATTGGGTCAGATAAGGAGTTTAGAAATGGAAAAGCCATTTAAAATATCTCTTATGGAAGGAAATAAGGGATGGAATGTGGGAGAGAGAGAAAGAAATATATAATAACTTGCTCTATAAATATCCCAGAGATACTGCAGTATCACCAAAACAAAACAATACATTTCCTTTTCCCAGATTATTATTTTTTTGTTTTACATTGTTTTTCCCTTTTGTTACTGGCCTTGATAGACCTGGAGGGTTAGCAAAAGTTCAAATAACAGATTTTTAAAAGACCAAATTTTAGAGATTTTACAGCCTCAAAACAACATTTTTAATTAGGTCTTTAAATATTTAGGTCACTATATTCTATATTTTAAGAGACCCACTTCTAGTTAGGTCAAATGTGTGACCTACTTCTGAATGTTAAGATTAATATTGTGTGTGTGTTTTTTAACTTTCTCTGCTTTCTCAGATAATTTGTTAAAAGACAAATGTTTATACTTTGCTTATTAATAGTTTTTTTTAAAAAGAGCATCTTTTCAAATCATTCTCTCAGGTCAATAATATTGCTAATTATTCACAAATTGCTAACTGATCACAA